TTAGTTGAATAATAATATAAATATAATATTATTAATATTACATTGTTAAGTAGTCACGTAGATATAAACAAAAATGTATGTACGTCTTACGAAAATTGTGTGTGAAAAATACAGATAGTAACAACTACACATATAATACTATATATAAATAATAAATATTATATAATAATAACATATTATGCTGGCATAATTTCGGGGACAAAATATTATATCTTTTGGAAATGACATGTTTTTTTTGCCCTAAATGAAATTTAAGCATTGTATACGTGGTGTGCATACTGGTAAACTGTATATATTATACATGATATTTTGAGTATATTATACTTATACTATTTTATTTCTAACTGCAACAGTTAACAGTACCCAAACGAACTGGCAACTGCAGAGTGCAGACGCACATATCTCCCACTGGTCTCTCCAAACCAAACTTGACTGCTCTCTTGTGTTACATTTATATTACCTACCTAATACCTACCTACCTAGGCAACCAGCTATATCTAGTTTATATATTTAATAACTAAATAACGGAATCACATAAAATTGCTCAACTATATATTATAATATACGCAATACTGTAATTATTGCAATAATGAATCAATTGATATTAATTTACGGCTTGACAAATTTTAACTCAATCATAAAATTCCACGGGTAACCCCTATCGTATTATATTAATATCTAACATTTGACAATATTAAAATTTTAAAATAATTATGGAAATTCGAGAAGAAATACTAAGAGTGAAGAGTTATACTTATAATTTAATATCCCAATGGAAGTATACGCGCTGTACATAGGCGCAATTTTGACAATTGATTTGGGGGGGGGGCTAAATTTATAAAATGAATACAGACCCGCATAATGTTTTTAATAGGTGGATTTGAGAATAAATATATTTAAAAACTTAGGGGGGCTTAAATAAAACCCCCCCAAATTGCGCCTATGACGCTGTACTATGTACTCTATAGTATATTTATGGTATATTTAATCTATGGATGTACGCCTGTACCTATTCGTATAATATTATACATTATGACATGTATATGATTCAGAACCAAAAATAGAAAATTAAAAACCTCTAAAATAGCCATTTAAAAATTATACAATGTAATATGAAAGATGCTTATAAACAAATTTTCCCACATTTTTTGTCGTTTTTCCTAATTTTCTGCAATTTCGCCCTTTAAAATAGTACCAACTAGATCCAACTTGATCAGAAATAATCCCCAATGTTGAAGATCAAAGCATATTTTTCTTCTATAAAACGCAATATATATTAGGTACCACAACACATACACAAAAACAATAATTGCAAAATCGCAGTATACGCATGGGTCGTTCAGTTCGGAGTCTAAAAACCTTACCTATAAAAGTATAAAACCAGCTAGTATATACGACAGTATAATATAATGCAGATCGATATATAAATCCTCGTTAAAATATTTTAATACAATTATTATAGTATACCTCTGCATAAGTATACAGTAACAGTTTGTATACCAATAAAAATAATAATAATAATAATATCGTTTGTAAAAATAAACGGTTCCGAAATCCAGCTGATGCCGGTCGATTAATAATATGTGATGGCGTACTCGCTGCAGGCTACTAATAAACGACGGCCCAGGAAGAAATTCGGAATCGGCATAGACCGCGAGCTCACAGTGGGTGATATAGATGACTATAATTACAGAGTAGCTATGAACACCACGGAAGTCGGGGCTAGAGGAAACGAAACGTTTCGCAGGTTCGGCAGTGCGCGACTCGGTGGCCATCGGCTGTGGCTGCAGACACCGCGGCGCCGACGGATACGCCAGGGTGAAAATCACGGAGACTAGCAGATTCTCTCCCCTTTTCGCCCAGTGGTCCGATCCCGTGCCAGGCCGAGTGGCAATGCCGCCGATTCCACAGCTGCACCGAGATTATAGTCTTCTTCGCTCGCTCCGAGCTTTGCAGGTCACCGTTGTCGCCGGCACAACAGAAGTCTTCACCACCTGCAGCGCCATCAAGCAGCGCACTAGCCTCTCGTCGCGAACCAGTGAGAACGGTGTAGAGGTGACCAGTGGCCATATACCAGTTACCAACATCATCAGCACCACCAACTCACCATCAAGTACCCCCCCACATCGCCTAGTCTTGTCCTTTTTTTTTCATTTAAATTATTATTTCTTGTTTTTTGCTACTTTGTATATCACATATAATATATTTCATTTTTCAGCCTTCAAAATTTTAAAGCACTAAACATTAATTTTCTATCTTTCACGAGATTATGTAATAAAATTATTTCATCTATATACAGTGCAGTTTTGTTCCTTATTTTTCGTATTAAAGAGTTCGATTTTATTTATTTCAACAGAATAATGGCGCCACTGAACATGATCGTGTTCACGTGGGACCCACAAAGAATATTAACCAACAATTTTATTGTTATGTATCAAATCTCAATGAAATACATTATTGAAGGTATTGGCCACGTGAGAGTATAAGTTTACTGGAGTGGTGACATTTATTCTGGCCCGAAATGTGATAAAAGAAGAAAAATGAATTTAAGAAAACACGCACACATTATTATAAAATCAATCCATTTATAGCTCGGCTCAAAATTTAAAACAAAAATAATAATAATAACTACCTATATAGTTTTTGTTATTGTTGTTGTATGAACACTATCAAAAATATGGTTATAAATTTATAATGCAATTTGATTTGTAGTAAAAATATAATGGTATAATACTATATAATGGTTTTTTTAGGGGGCCCCTAAATTTTCTTTTGCACCAGAGCCCTCAGAGTTCAAGATCCGGCACTGTATAATGTATATTAATATAACAGTGGCTTAACTTCGACATTACGGCTCGACGGGAGTGAAATGTTTATGACTTCGTGTGTGTATTCTTATCTCCTCATTTTAATTAGACTGAAGGAGGAGGGAGAAAAAAGTTATGTTTTTTAAGGTCTCACAATCTCACATATTGAGAACGAGAGCCGCCGTCTTTTTTAGCAAGAATCGTTCCTATTGCTACAGTTTTTATTTAGCCGTTACATCGTTACATGTGCACTTTTCACTGCAGCTGAATGAGATAAAGAACCGATTCTGCTATTCGATCGGGTCCAAAACTTAATATAACTACCTAATAGTTTAGTACAGTTTTTGTTTTTTTGTAAAACGATTATAGTGGAGAAAAAAATTATTATTTCATCGATAAATCTTGTACCTACCTAAATAACGCTATGAAGGTATTTACACTTTGCATCCGCCCACCATATCAAATTTCCGTAGCATCACCATGGTCGGATAGCGTGCGCCATGGGAATACGAAAAGACAAATACGAAATATAAAAGTCCGCCGCTATACCATTTCCGGAAAAAATATATAGAATTGTTGGTAGAGTGCAACGCCGGAAATCGTCTTCCTTCCCGCGTCCGCTCCACAGGACACATCTAACTATCTAAGGGGGTCAAGGGGTGAGGCCAGTGCCAGGTTAACGAATATTCCTCCTAAGATCAAATTTTAAAATGCCACCCTTTACAACCCTTGTACCCATCATAACAAAATTAATTATATTAATAATATTATGATTTATATTTAATGTTATAATATAATTTAATATTAGGTATTGAAAAAAAAATATTAAATCTGTCTGTTTACTTGACGTGAGACAAAATCAGAGGCAATAAAATAAATTCAAAAAAATATAATGTAAGAAAGAATAATAAAATCGAAATTTACGTAGGTATGAGTTTTAAAGTTGATATCGTCCTGCGTCTATAGCAGATAGATAGTAGATACAGTGAACAAATAAACAATTATACATAATAATATAATTTATATAGGTACAATGTACATAAATACATGGGTAATATATATCAACGGCCATTATATTACATTTCCAATACTACATTCTACAATACATAAATACTCACTAGGTATACATATAGTAGGTATAACTAAATAGTTAACATTAGAATTTAAAATTTGTAAAAAGTTAGATATAATGATAAAAACAACAGGTAAATCGATTTCACAAATTATAATTTGTTCATATAGTCTTGTATCAATGACAATAAATTCAAAAATATTCAATATTAATGCTACTACCTGCTTCTTACTCAGATTATGGTCAATCGGTTTTTTCCTTCCGTAGTTTTGGTGTTGTGGCTGAGAATAACAAAAGAAACTTGGTAGGTATATATTATCTTGTTGGACGTGAAAAAACTTAAAAGTTCGCTTGTGAGAGCAAAGAGGGAGCATCAAACGTCGATGAATCCATCAACGAACTTACGTAGGAGTACTCGATTAGCTTCAACACGCCTAAATGAGTTTATCAGCCGGAAATGAAATGCCAAGAGCTTGAGGGGACTAGATAGTAGGTTAGTAGGTAGTCATGCGGAGGATGGTCTAGGCTCAGCATAGACAGCATAGGTATATAATATAGGCTGCTGATGACCGATTATTGAATAATGAATGTAGGTACAATTATAATATTTACACCATCTGTAAATGATAATTTAACGACAAGCGTAAGAAATAGATTTGATGAATTTGAAAAATGTAAGTACAAGATTACAAGATATTTGTGATGTGCCGTGCATTCAAATTAATGCTCCCCCCCTCCCGCACCAGATCGCACCGTCTCTAAGTCAGTCGGGCGACGGACGGACGGAGAGACACGTCTGAGGCGGATTCAGAGGGGTGGGTTGTCGTGGACGATGGTTGAGGGGTGCGGGTACGCGTAAACCGCACGCGAGGCAACGACGGGGTCGATACACTCGACGCTCACCGAACCGTGTCACCCCACACTGTAACGGGTTTATAGTGTAGTGTGTACGACGAAATTCAGTGGCACATAACCGATGCAGCGATCTGTCGGCCACCACACCGCACTACGGCGTCATAGAGTAATATCAATGTATATCCACAGATATATAATTATTATATAGGTATTATATCTGTGGTTTATACCACGATTAAAGATGTAATCGTGATTTAACGCACGCGTTACTTTTCGTCGGTGACGCCGTATCGATTTTCATTATTTTCGAACGTTGCGCCGTCGTTGCGGAACGTTGCGCCGGACCGTTTCGCGCGTCCTGCTCCCCGCTCTTCCATCCCACCACATATAGCCCTCTCCACCCCACTTCCGCCACCGCCGCCCCACGATAGTTCGGTACGGCATTCTTGTTCACGGTTCATTGTATTGTCGGCCATTTTTAACGCGCGTGCCCCAGCTAACCAAACTCTCTCCGCTCTCGTCACTTGTTATCCGCCGACATAGTTTATTATTTTTTTGTTCGTGTGTCACGTTTTGCACCTACTGCATACCACTCACCTTTTCACTTCGCGGTGTACACCTTACACCTCTTCGTCACACAATTTGACGCAGCCGACCTACTGCCGCCGCCGCTCCGTCTGACTCGTGTGTGTAAGCACGGAACGCCGTAAAGTCGAAACCCTGTCACGCCGACATTAAATTCCACTGTGTTATTTGGCCGTGTTGCCCTATAGTGTTCGTCCGTGTACCACCGTTCCCCGAACACCATGTCTTCAACCGAATTGAATGACGGCGCCAACGGAGAGATGGCTTCCGAGTCCAAACCAAACGAATACGTGTCGGCCCTCGTCAAGGAGAAGTACGCTCTGGAGGCTGCCACCCATCTGAATACCATGAAGCTCATCGACGAAGGTCAGTAATTTCAAATTTTGCAATAATGTCATCGTACTTACACGAGCTGATTTTTATGTCTACTATTAATCGTAAACCGTATCTTGTGTGAGGACGCGTTTCTTTATCAAGCCCCTTTCGACCTATTTCCTTTAAATAAAAAGTTCTTTCTAGGTACCTCTATATATATATTATACTCTAATCTACATATTTCTACCAAGTGTCTAGCCTATTGTAGTTAACAAACATTTTTACCAGCTTACTTACGACAAGAGTTTTTACCATCTAACTTCCACCTAATTTTATTATCGAAACAGAATTAGTATTCATTGATTTAATAAAGGTAATAGATACCTAGGTATATATTACAAATTAAATGCCCTATAATTAGACTCCGTAATTAAAACAAAATCAAAAAATACCTTGGTAATTGGTACCTAAGAATAATTTTAGACAAGCGCTTAACTTGAAAACCTTACCTCCTCACAAAAACTGACTAATAACACTTAGCCCATTCCTTAAACTCAATATCAACAGCCAAAATTATAATATTCAATTCCATGATAAAACTTGTCTTATGATACCTATTCAAATTTTAGGACCAGCAAAATCTTCAAATATCCGAATTTCGATCTTTCTAATACTTATTTCTCCGGAATAACTATTACTGGTTCTATGATATTATATAACTACAAATCATTGCATAACATCTAGACAATTATGAATTTCACAAAATTAACTAAAATTATTACCATAACAACTTCTAATTAAACACATCGCTTCAACTTATATACCTGACATACAAAATTTTTTACTCGACGTCCGGAGATGTAACAAATTTCCAATAGGCGGATTCCCCAAAAGCAATGTTATTAAGTTGTTATAACTTATATTATATATAATTATATCCTAATGACTACCTCAATAAATTTTATCATATTTTAATAAATCCAAATATGTAGGTATAATATATAAAAGCAGTTTTGATTAATTACCGAATTTATATATATACAATTTATTTATTTATTTAATAAATAATATGTTTTTTATAAATTAACTTTATATATTTATTTTTATTGTAGAAATTGCCAGAGCACAAAACACCAACGGAAAACCAGAATCTGCTTATTTGGACATTAATAGTGATAAACCTATTCGGCTAACAGCCAAGATTATGGTTCCAGCAAAAGAATTCCCAAGGGTATTAATATTTAACATATTATTACCCATATAAATTGCTTAATTATTTTGCAATATAATTATTCATAAATTATATAATTCATTTTACATTTTCAGTTCAACTTTGTTGGTAAACTATTGGGACCTAAAGGAAATTCATTGAAACGTCTCCAAGAAGATACTATGACCAAAATGGCAATATTGGGCAAAGGATCAATGCGTAACAAAGAAAAAGTATGTATTAAGTTTTATAATATTTTTACAGGAAGTGAAATCAATTTGATGACTCTCGTGTTTTGTGATGTGCTTTATATTTATTGTTTATCTATACATTTATATTAAGCAGTATTCTAACCAATAGGTATTATGAATATTAAAATGCATTTAGTTGCAATAAACTTTTTATAGCATAATGTTCCATTCTGTCATTATTCTTAATATTTGCTGATACATATATTTATATTTTACAGGAAGATGAAATGAGAAGTTCATTAAACCCAAAGTTTGCACACCTTGCTGATGAACTTCATGTGCAAGTTACTGCTTATGCGCCTCCTGCTGAAGCTTATGCTCGTCTTGCTTATGCACTTGCAGAACTTAGGAAGTTTTTAATACCTGACCATAATGATCAAATTGCACAAGAACAAGCACGTGAAATGCAACAATTTGGAGGTGCTCCACCTGTTCGTCATCCAGGACCAATAATTCATGCTCCCCCACCTCCACCAGCAGTAATTCGCCAAATGCCACCTCAGCCACCTCGTATGCCAAGAGCTCCAGTTCCAGGAAAGGCTAAAGTAATGAGCATATTGGACAGAGCTCGATCAGCAATGGAAGGATCAAATGCTTATCCGGGTAATGGTGGCTATGGTGATTCTGGTTCATCTCATTATTCTCATTTTGATTCTGGGTACAATATGTTATATTATTTTATAAATTATTTAAAATTAATCATTCTATTATTTCAATAATGTCAGATAATAATAGTGAGTGAATTTAATAGGTATGGTGGTGTAGCAACATATAATGGCGGTGGTAATGACGATTACTACTCAGGAAATTCATATTCGCAAGGTAAAGCAATTAATTATATTATTAATGTAAAATATTATATTCAAAATTGTAATTCCCTACTTTTTTTTTTTAGATAATTCTCAAAGCGGTGGTGGACGTGGTTGGAAAAACTACAATACTGGCGGTAGTAGTGGACCATCCAAACCGACTGGTAATCAAGGTAGTCGGTATGGAGGTCGCAACGCCCCATATACCAGACAAAAATAATCAGGTATTTGTCAGGACTATTTCTATTGTAAATGAATATTGACAACAAAGAGAAATATTGGGTAGAATAATTTTTTTTAATGATTTGACATTTCATAATTATCTCAAAAATAATTTTCCACTTAGTAAAACAAATTAAGATTATCTTATATATATATATTTTTTTTTTATGCGTATATAAAACATAAAAGTATTGTACATCCAATAAAAATTGTGTATTACATGGGATGTTGAATTCCAAATCATATTTTTCTTAAGCAAAAACATAATTGTGTAAGGATTACAACTTAAATAATATAATTTGTAAAATGGAGTGTAAAATACAAGTTCTGCACAAAACTTCTTGATTAGATTATTATTATAACTTTATATCAAATATTGTTGGGCTACTTATTTTATTATTATTTTTTTTTAATATGAATTTGTCTTTAGGAAAATATTTATAATTTTTTGATGTATTTTTGATTATTACTTTTTATAGATACTTAGTACATAACATACATTGTTACTAAAGGATAACACCACTGCCACAATATATTTTTATTCAATAAATAATAGTAATTACTATTCATAAAATATTTGAGTACCTTTACCTGTATAGTATAATATTGTGAAAATAAAAGAATAATGAAATAAATTTGTCTACAAATACTAAATTGCATTTATAAGAATTAAAACACAATCACTATAGTATTTATTAATTAGATGATAATAATTAAATATTAATAAAAACAAAAATAAACATTAGGAAAATAATAAAAAAAATTCTATTGTGGCAGAGGTAACAATCCACTTAAAATTAAAATTCACCTGTTGCTTGCTGCTAATATTACAGATGCTGATTTATTATAAAAGTAAAAATTTAAATTCGAACCCAGTGATTGATGATGATGATTATTATAATAATAACAAACCAATTTACTAATATAATATTTTTAATTATTATTTTATTATATTTATGTGTTTGATTAAAACTTAATAGAACCATTGGATTCATTTTAAAATGTCACTTATATATTATGTAATAACTAATTAATAAATTGGAAGAAATATTTGTAGTATTTATTGTTTTATACAGTTATTATTTACTTATTTATTATTATTTTTTTTTTTATCATTTTATTATAAAAATATGGATTACGCATAATCTAATGCTATCGATAGATGTTTAGATTTATAATAATATTGTAGTTTGTTAGGAACAACAAAATTTATATAAAATAAAAACTTACAAAAAATAAAATAAAATATTTACAATTTACTTGATCTTACTATATATACATATTATATTATATTTACCCTCATAATATATACTATTGATATAGTTATTATATATTTGTGTGTTATGGATGATGTGCATATTGTGGCTTTTGTCGACATTTAAATAGTCAATACCATATTCACAAGTTTTGAAAATATGAGTCATTAGAGGTTATCAATTATAATTTTTGATCAAATCTATTGTGTCTACTTAATCTTGTGGAATAAGAAAATTTTCAATGATAAATATTTTGTACTCTTTATTTCCACCGTCTAGAAATTGTCATTAATGTTATGTAACAAATAATTAATTTTAGTATAGTTTAATTTGTTGCTTATTTATTTGGTTTTGAAAAGTAATGTCCCTATCTATACGAGTTAATAATTATGAACAACTGTTAGTATAAATTGTTGGCAGATGTTAGCATTGACCACAAATTGCACATCAGCTGTAACATATTTTTATTATATATTACACGTCAACCTTACAAAATTTAATAATTGATAACAATAAAGTTTCAGGTGAATCCTTATAACCAAATATTGCACGACCCAAACCTAATTCCTCACCATGAAAAACACGTACTGGATAAAAAAAAACATGATAAATGATAATAATTAATAATATTTAAATTGATCATTATGTTATCATTTTAGGATTATATATATATATATAGCCATTACATTTATGATATAAATTAACTTCCAGCAAAGAAAACCAATATAAAGAGGAGTGGCGATGCTTTAAAATTATTATCGTATTGATTGCCGATGATTCAGGCGGCCTTGGAAACCCCTATTTTAGAGAATAATATTGTCTCTAATTTTGTAGAAAAAAAAAATGTGATGAAGTCTAGTGCACTTCATCACTGTACATAACATATTTAACCTGGAAAATGATAATATTTTTATAGGAATACATATTATATTGTTATAATTATGTCTAAAATGTGGTAAGTTGTTTTAAAGTTTAATAATGTCAAATGTCACTGTAACTAACTCAATGCCTTTGACAAAAAAAAAATAACATACAAAAGTTATAAATAACTATAAACTCAGTAAACTATACATCAATAATATGAAGGAAAAAAGAAATCAAAATTGAATGAAAATATTTAAATAACAGGTACATCTTTAAAATTTAATTTGTTAATATATACATAAATATAAATTACTTAAAAACACTACGCGGTTTTATATTATTTATTTTGTTAAAAGAATAAAAAAATAATTGAAATATCCGTTTTTGTTAATATTTTTTTTTATTTCTAAAATTAGTGCATCTACATGAAATGTATTTTACTTTACATTATTTTAATGTCTATCTGTTTTGTTTCAGGATATTTTGGTTCCACCACATACATCATATTCGTTGATTCTCTGCTGTGACAAAGGAGTACAAATTTTTTTATTGTTTTTTTTTTTTTATTAGTTGTAATTTATTTTTTTAATTTGTGGTAATGTAATCTTAATACCAAAAAGACTGCCGATAAATGTACAATTTTTTTACTTTTGTAATTTTTTATTGTTTTGTTTCAATACAATAAAAACTAGTCAATTATTTATTAATATTTTGTTTACATTTATTTAAAACATTTTCTACATTAAGACTAACTGCTTATTTTCTTTCGTATAAATAAACTCTTAAATACATCTAGATCAGATTGGGTAACAATAACCTCCATAACAGAATAATCACCATCGGTGTTGATATTGACAATAGCTGTGTGTGTTCTTAACCATTCATATTCATCTCGGCCAGTGCGGACCCGAATTTTAATTGTTCGTCTACCAGTAGCTTTCATTATTTGACTTTCTATTTTCTTCTTGAGCTCCTCCAAACCCTCCCCAGTGGTACAAGATATAAACACCGAACTTCCATCAGGCTCTACGTTATCTAGACGATCAACTTTGTTCCCAACATCGATCACACCGTTCAATAATTCTGGGTTGATACTTAAGTTCTTTAGCGTCTCCTCAACGTGGGCTTTTTGTACAATGACATTGGGATGAGACATGTCCCGTACGTGGACGATAACGTCGGCGAACATGGCATCCTCCAGCGTAGCGATAAACGGTTCAATGAGTCTAGTCGGTATATCCGATATGAAACCTATGGTGTCTACATAGAGTACAGTCATGTTGGACGGCAACACGCCCCCATGCACGGTCACGTCGAGCGTGGCAAACAGGCAGTCCTTAGGCACTAGGCCCACATCACCAGTCAACGCCCTGACCAGCGATGTCTTGCCAGCGTTTGTGTATCCAACCACGGCAACAACGGGTAAGTCCTTGTTAGTCCTATTGTGCCGCAGGTGTTGCCGGTGGCTCCTCAGCTTCTCCACTAACTTCTTGAGTTTCTTCTCATATGACTTAAGCAAGTCCTTCTTATCGTCGTACCCGAGCTTACCGCTGAGGGCTATCTGGCCCGCCTCTGTGCCCAGCCGCTCGGCGTACCCATCCTGCACGCCGCGTATCCGTGACCAGATGTACGGCAGCTCTGCCAGGGCCACCTGCAGCTTGGCCTCCCTAGTGATGGCGTGTCTGCGGAATATCTGCACCACCATCAGGTACCGGTCATAGACGGGCACACCGAAACGGTGTTCCAGATGCTGGTGTTGGATCGGCTTCAGTACGTTGACGCTGACGAACACGGCTGTGATGCGGCGGTCGCGGGCCACCCGAAGCGCAATCGCGTCCACGTTGCCGGGACCGAAAAACGTATGCTTCCGGTATGATGTGAGGCCTACTAACAACGTGTCCGTCACCGACCATTCGGCCAAGGTGCGCACCAGCGACCGGCTCTCATCCGCCTTGATTTCCGGCCTCGTGTTCCTGTCCTTGTTGGCCCCCCATTTGATGTACGGCTGGACGATTAGCACCTGGTGGCCGCCGGCCGGCGCCAGTTTCAGCTGTCTGTCGATCAGTTCTCTGGCCTGAGCGTCCTCTGTGCTTCCGCCGCCGTCGTCGTCTCCACCACCACCACTGTACCACCTGACGAGACGGCCGCGACGCCCAGCCATCACTGTTCGTGCGAAGCGGCCCACGAGTCCCGGCATTGGCGCACCTTGTCCTTGGCCGCGATGTAAGAGGCCGCCGTGCCCGCTGCCGTGGAAACGGCCAAGTGGGTCCTGCGTACCGCCGGGAACCGCTTGATGACGATCTGCTGCGTCACGTGCACCACGGCGAACGTGAACGCCAGCGCGCCGAGCCCGGTGCCGTAAGATCTCGTCAAGCAATCCAAGTACGAGCTGATCCCCGGACGCGAGTCTTCGAAATGTTCTTTGAGTGCTGCCGAGCTGCTTCTGTTCATGGTACGCGACAGTATAATATGACCTAGATGACTTGTTTGAACTCGTAATCCACTGCGACTTACGAATGAATACCGGACCGAGGGCAAAGATAAATTAGCAAAACCAACCTAATTATAACAACTACCAAGTGATATTTTTAGCACTCGTCATCGTTATTCGTTGAGTTCATCGTCCAACGATTCAAACAGTACCCGCGGATTAGAATTTTTCATTTATTGCTTTTTTTTTTTGGTTATCATATTTAATGATAACAAATTGTCGCTGATAACGCCATAACATTATTATCACGGACTAAGATATCTTAGTCCGTGATTATTATCATCACGATTATAAAGAACCACAGATATATATAATAACTAGATACCCGACTCCATATACCACAACGTTATTAAATTACACAGACTTCTATACTACACTAGATAAGGAACTCTTATACAATTTACATTGTTACAAGTGAAGCTCAGCTGTGAACGGCCGGCATTTTGTCGGTTGGCAAAACATTTCATTTATTATACAAAATGTATTAGGAATAGTATTTTTTTTAACGGTCAAATAAAATAGTAAATGTAAAATGACTTATATAAAATATTTTTTTTTTTTGTAAACTAAATGTTTAAAAATAATAAAATACGATATAAAATAAATCATAATATCATCTTATTTGTCATATGAAATACCATACAATTGCCAACCGACCTTGAGGCTTCAATTCATGACCGGAGTTCGCTATCTAGTAATATATAGAAATCTGTGTTAAATTATGATGCCCGACGCCATTTGTGACTATGGCAATGTTTACAAATTCTTATCATTTTTTAATCGTTTTGATATCATACATAGTGATACAAATATTTCATAACAATATACTCATAGTATAATTATTTTTTCATAAACTTAATATTATTACAAGTATTTTTATACAGTTATACATAATTATACCATAATTGATGGATGAACCAGTTAAGTTCAACTCATTTTACATTGTACGATTTACTGTAAGCCTAAAAATATAAGTTTAAATCAAAGAATCAGTGAAGTGAATATGAATTAATGGACTTGACTGTAAGCTGCCTATTTCAAAATGTGGTTCAACTGATTTTGACCAGCGACTTCACTCTTTATGATTATAGAGATATGTCATCAATCGTAGTTTATTTTGAACAGCTAGGAAGATCGAAAAAGAAGTACTGGATAGAGGCGAGGGAGAAGAAGCATAGTCTAAATTAAATGTAATGACAGTGAAAAATTTACATAATTAAACACAGGTAAATATAGGTGTATTAAATGTAATGAGTCAAATACCTACAATAATCGTCGAAAAAGGGTCAGCACCACAGTAGTCAGTAAGTTGGGCAACAGACTTATTTGATATGAACTATTGTTATCATTGTAAACATTGCCATAGTTGTAAATGGCTGCCAGCGTCATTGATAAGAAGAAGTCGGGTATCTACACAGATATAAAATACTATTAGATATTTTATATCTGTGGGTATCTAGTTATTATATATATCTGTGTAAAGAACAGGTTATGCGTCGGAAGGAATATTTTCGGTCAGATTTTGTTACGGCGGTGTAGTTCTTAAAACCGCCGAGCGCTGCAAGTCATCCGTGTTACATATTAACATTTTCCTATACAAACCATGTTAAAACTAATTTTTTAATTAATTAATTGACAAACCTTTTGTTTTAATATTAGCAGTTTATTCATAGGTAATTTATAGACCTGCATTTTGGGTGTAGCCTACTGTATTTTTAGACCTCTCTTTTTTTATTTCGGCCCTACTAACAATGTATACAAACTTTGATAATATTAAATTATTTTTCATCAACCTGATTGAATTATTATTATTAATTATAATATAATTTTTAAGAGATGTGCGATGGTGTTTTAAAAATATTTTGATAAATTTTAAATTATTTAATATTTTTGTTTATTTTTTAGATTCTAAGCGGAGCGATGAATGTATTGGTTTTACAATGATGTGTGTTTTTTTTTATATTTTTATATTTTTATATTTTTTTTTGTGTCTGTCATCACGTTTTGGGACAGTAAAAGTGCTTCGATTTTCTTCAATAGTACCTTTTCTGATAGGAAAGTGAATCTAGTTGGTATTTTGGGGGGTAAAAAGTAAACATTTTCCAGTAGTTTTCACAAGCGCCGGGAAAAATAACATAAAAATTAAGGAAAAACGGGAATTTTTACGCAAAATTGGTTTTCCAAAAAATCGATTTTGGTTATTGGTGTAACTCTAAAACAAATGAACGTATATACATGAAATTTTCACTGGTTGTTTATAATTGCATTTTATATACACGATAACATTTTCAAAATATTTTGAACTGTTTAGGGACATTTTCATTTTCCATTTTTTTTTCTAAAAATATCAATAAAATTTTATTTGTTGGTTGCGAAAGCTTGAAAATTTAATAGAAGGCTCCTAATATGTTGTTTCAAAGGCAGATGAAAAATATTAAAAATCCTTAGTCACAATTTTTTTTTATAAGCATTTAAAGTTCAAAATTTGACAAAATATGGAAAAATCACGAAAATTAGCAAATTATTTTGAGTTAAGAATTCGTAAAAATTTTTCTTTTTAAATCTAAGATTTGAAAATGAAACACAAGATTCCTTATAAGATTATCTACCTTTATCAATAAAAAAATCTCTACCGGACAGTCAAATTAAATTTTTATGAGCGTTTGAAATTCAAATTTTTACAACATTGGATTTTCACTCGATTACTCATGTAGCGATTTCCTTATTTTGTTGCAATTCAAAAACGAACAACTGTAGATACATGAAAATTTCACTGAATGTTTAAATTAGCATTTTCTATACACCATACAATTTTGAAAATATTTTGACTCTTTTTGAGCTGTTTATGGACATTTACAGCTTTCAATTTTTTTAGTTTTTTTTTTATAAATATCAATAAAGTTTTATCTGTTGGGCCAAAAAGTGTAAAAATTTAATACAAGGCTCCTGATATATTGTTACAATATCAGTTGAAAAATATTAAAAATACATAGGCACGATATTTTTATATAAGCATTTAAAGTTGGAATTTTGACAAAATTTATCAAAATCTCGAAAATTATCAATCGTTGGAATTAAAAAATTATAAAATGTTCAGTTTTTATAACTAAGAGTTGAAAATTTAAAACAAAGATTCTCTTAAATAATTCATACTGTAACCAAAAAATCTAAAAAATATATAAACACACTTATTTTTTACAGACATTTTAATTTCAAATTTAGACAAAATTTCATATTTAAACCAAGAATTACGATTTTAGTTATTTTGTTGTGATTGAATAATATTATTCGTGGGTACTTGAAACTTCTAAAGTGTACTATTATATATCTATGATAGTATCACGGTTTTTGTTGATGTATAAAGCGTTATAAGTATCTAATGGATATTGTGATATGATTAATTTGGAATTTATTATAGGTAAATATTATAGGTCAATTTTTTGTTTAATACCATAGATAAGTATATAATATGCCTTGTACATAGACTGACATACCATCACCGCTCAGAATCGTTTTTCTTATACAATGATATTATATCATTGAATTCAAATTTAATACCATCCATTATACAGTGACCCACTTGTAACCTACTGTACAGCAGAGCGACACCCACTTGCCCACCTTTTTTTTTAGTGGTTTTGCAATGTTTGAAAAATGCCTATTGCCTAGTAATTTAATAAAATGTTCTTCATAATTTGGAGGGGGGGCTAGATCATAATTTTCACAAATAAATAATGATTATTCGGTGACGACAAAAACTATATCTCAATAATCAGTTATTATGTGGTCACTTACATTAGGAACCAGGAGTTAGAAACTAGTGTATGTATTATGTATATCATTGTGTTTTTTAGTATTTAAAAGTATAAAGTTATTCTGTGTAGTACAAAGTAAATAGGTACATTTATATATATTATATTTACATATACCAATTCGAGCCCTAATGTAGTGCCAAAACTAGAGTTTATTGGATTAAATTAGTTTAATCAAATTAACTCTACATATCAGATGGTAATTTCCTTTTTTTCACTGGGTTTGACAAATATTTTGGACCCGGAAATATACTTGGAACAGCATCATGAACAAGCTTTGCTCGTTTTAAATTTATCTATAAAAACGTTTGACATTTTTTTATAAAAAAAGATTCATTGAACAAAGGATAAGTTACAGTACCTAGGTAATACCGTGACTTTTGAAGCACCAGAACCAGATTCCCAAGTTCTAACAATTTGATCAGGTGAAAATGTTTTTCACAAATCACTGTCTTTGAGTTGACAACAAGATTAGCACGAGGAATAGATTTTTCCCATTTTTCCCTCAAAATTTCATTTTTAGGAAATTGAAACAGTGAATAGTGAAACTTTTTCTGGGTTTGATTTATATCCTGACGTACAAAACACAACCCAGCAAGAAGATGGCATGTTTCGATAATTCGGAAATAAATAATATAATAAAATAATAATATATTGACGTATGACCCCACTATGACAATAATATTAAATATTAATAATATATTATACGATTCGTCTTCACAAATCACAATAGATGATTTATATTTATGACGACAATGAACAATTCGTTTAGAGCCCGGTTAACTAGCAGCGCCTACCTAGTGGTAAATAGCCGAACTATATCACCGTAACAATTTCTGACCGCGGTTGTGCCATACAAATCTTATACCGACGGATAACCTGTTCTTTATAATCGTGATTATCATAGAACAATCATATGAAATGACCATGGTTGGAATCATGATAAATCATTTTGGATATTGAATTGTTTCCACCACGGACTAAGATATACAGGACTGGACACGAGATGAATATTGTGGTTACGAAATGTTTTACAACAGGCGGAGTTCGGGGGGATATTTTCCTTTTAGCATTACTAGCGCCGTCTTAGTGGATACTTATGGAACTAGAAATTTGTATGATGTGTTCTAGTTCCATAAGTATCCACTAGGACGGCGCTAGTAATGCTAAAAGGAAAATATCCCCCCGAACACTGCCTGTTGTAAAACATTTCGTAGTCAACCCCCCCACACCCTCCAACCTTGTCGTGTCCAGTCCTGTATATCTTAGTCCGTGGTTTCCACTTTCCAGTTTCATATTCCCTCCAACAGTCCAACGATAACAGAACCACAGATTAAATCTGCGTTCACACTTCACACTTCACAGAACGAACGAGTGAACGACCACAATCCTAAAATAGTGAACAAGAATTAAAATATTCGTGACCAGCGGCCACCGCTATTGACACCTCCACAATTTAGAATTATTATTATATGGATTTATTTATATTAAAAATCAATTAAATACAACAATTTAATTGGTTTTCTTTGATATTTTACTGTTACCGAAACACCATACTAATAGTTTACCGGTTCAATTGCCTTGTAGTTCTTTCGAATTATGTCTGAAGAACAGGACTCGATCGAAATTGAGTGAGTATCAAATAATTCTTAAATAATCATGAAATAGAAATGTTCTATTATAATTGATCATATTTATTATAGTTGTATTCACATCTCCTAACTATCTAATAATTTAATAAGAAATTACTCTGTTACTGTAATCTGTATTTCAAATGTATAAATATATATAATTTTGTTTCTTGGCCCTGGCTTGTATTGTACAGTAGAGCCTCAATAACTCGAATGTTAAGGGAAATAAAAATTAATTCGACTTATGTTTTTTTCGAGTTACATAATATTGCATTGAGTGTATAGGAATTTCCTAGGGACATAAAAATATTCAAGCTATCGAGGTTTTCGAGTTATTGAGGTTTGAGTTATCGAGACTCGACTGTATTAAAAATGAAATAGATTGTTACTTGTTTTGAAATTATATGTAAATTTTTAGAAATCCTAGTAAAAGTGCCACTATCCTCTGTGTTCAGTACCTTATATCACAGCACATGAAAACTAAAGGTGTCATTAAAAAAGACGAACTGATGAAAACTGTCTTCAAGGGTCGCAATCTTGGAAAAAACTATGAAAGAGTTATGGAAGAAGTGAATAACACGTTAAAAAATGTATTATTTAAATTATTTCAGAAACTTATATTTTTGTGCAAATTTAATTAATTTTTAATTAATTTTCATTTCAGACTTTTGGATTTTCAATATCATATATTAAAGATGATCACAAACAGTTCTTCATTGTGAATAATATAGATGAAATTGAAACTAAAAAATTTAGTTCTTCTGAAGAATCAAAATATCAAGTTTTATTGAAACCAATACTCGGGGCTTTAGTTATGCTTCGTGCACCAATCAGTGAAGGTTTTTATAAATTTAATTTTTTGATTACAACATTTTTACTTATTTAATTTTAAAAATTAGATTCAATTTTCAAATCAAAAATAATATGATTCAACATAAAATAAAATAAATTTTATTTCAGGTCAAATGTGGAATATACTAGAGAAATTTGCATTGAAATTAAATTTAGACATGGACTTAACTAAACAAATTGTTAAAGGAGTAAATATTTATTTATTTAATATATTACAATTTATATCCAGAAATGTTTACAATAAATTAATTACTTTAATTTAAAAACTTTTTTAACTTTTAAATAATGAGAATGACTAAAATATGTTCTTTAGAGAAAGTTGGAGATAGTATTTAATTGTTAATTTAGAGCAGTGGTTCTTAAATATTTCAGAATCATCACAGAAATCACCTAAAATTTCATAAAAATAATACTCCTTTTCAAAAGAGAATAATATACCGGTCGCCCACCAATTTCAGATTGTTAGCGTGGTCACATGACTCGACGCACTAATCGAATCATTCAACATGCTCAAAAGTGTATATTATCTTTTGGATAGGAGTATAGGATTCAGATTTGAAGGGAAATGCCTTTTTTTTTATTGTATTATGATAGAAAAATATTCTTAAAAATGTGTTTCATTTAATTTCCAAGAAAATGAGTAAACAATTATTTTGATGTTTTTTGCCCATTTTACATATTTATGGTAAAAATTAATAAGAACTAGCAAAGAACATGTTTTTGAAATTATGTTTAAAATTATTTTTAATTGGTATACTTTATTGCTATTAGAGGTATCAATAAAATATTTGCCATGGCAAGTTAATTTAGTGTTTTTCAAAGTACCCATACTACTTATAAATTAAAATGTGTTTTTGATGGGTAGATTCAAGATTTTCTTTTAATAAAAAAAAAACAATGACAATTTAGATAATTATTTATGTTTGAAATACGTACCAATAACTTCGGTGGACGTCAAAAGGCGATAAGACTTGGGGTACCTGTAAAATAAAACAGTATTTACTTATACAGGGTGTCCCGTGAGGATTTACCTATTAGCCGTAGAGGGGGACTCGTCGCCCGGACAAAAACCGGTTTTTTGCCGTTTTATTTATTAATTAAAAAAATTATTAAAAATCAGGAAATTAATGAAATTAAAATGTTGAAACGTCAATATTTTCAGAAAAATGAACTCTACAAAATGGCAATCTTCAATATTTTTTTAAATAATTAATTAAAAAAATAATTTTTTTAACTTTTTTACCAAAACATTAAAAAAAAATAAAAAATTAGTTATTTGTAGTGCTTACCTCTGTGAGTATTAATAAGAAAACAGAATTACGATATCTCTATTATTTCAGGAGATATCGCAATGAGTAAATCCTCACGGGACACCCTGTATACATAGGGTATATCAATTAGAGTAAAAAAATTGGGTGAGGGCTTCAGCTTTTTTTTAAATGGACATAATTTTTTTTTACTTAGAGCCTATAAAAGACACTTATAAGCTATAACCGAAACAGTTTATTTCAACTAAGCCTAGTATAGAACTTTGTCATTTTTAAAATAATATATTATTTGTATTTGTATACATCATATTAGGTACACAAAATGTAATACCTATAATATATTACAAATTTTGATTTTATTTCAGAAATTTGTAAAAGATCAATACCTTCAATACAAGATTACTGATGATACAACCATATCGCTTGATCCAGAAAAAACAAGTTATTGGTTTACTTTAGGACCTAGAGCATTAGAAGAATGTGATCAACTAATGTTATTAAATCGAGTTGGTGAGGTAAGTACAAAATTCAGTTCTGAATACAGAAGAGTCATAGGCAATCAGGCATGGATTAAAATTTTTTTGCTGTCATACAAACAAATAATTATTTGCATTTTGTATGTACACATAAAATTGCTAAAAAAAATGAATGTAATAGATGTATAAATAAGAATAACAGCCAAAAAGAGTATCAAAAATTGTATTATGTATATTTATTTAAAACATATTTGAAAAATATACAATGAATTTGATGTTGATATGAGTCAAATTGTATGTAAAATATTTGGGAGGGCTTCTACACAAACTTAGAATTTATATGCAACCTTCAACTTAAGGAAATAACTATTTATGTAAACCAGTATATAATAGGAAAATTATGGTTTTTAGAACAGTTTTGGAAATCTGCAATAATATAAGGATAACATTTTTTTAATAATCTATTTAAATATTGCGTGGTATTGACTACTAGTCATAAATCACAATCTTCCTAAAATTTAATTAACAATCAACTATTTTTTTTAAGTTTTTTAAAACTTATTTCAAAGTTTATAAGGGGAAACATTAATTCAGTTGAAACTGTTAATTTTAAATTATGATAAATGTTTCTTTAACACTCATCAGTCATAATATTGCATTTTTATTTTCTACTTCTATTTAATATTATTATAATTCTGGATCTGGACTTTTTAATTTTCTATTTATTTTTAAAATGTATTTTCAATTTCCAAGACTGGTTGAAGGCTGATATTTTTGATTTATAATAATATAAATACTTGTTTTTATTTTAATATGTTACTAATTTGCGATATACCTATGTAGACTAGTAAGACTTAATACTATATTATAATGTATGTGTTACTATAACTATTATTTTATCAAGAAACAATTGGAAATTATTATTGGTTTATTTTAATTTGTCTAATATTCAGGGCCGTCCCGGAGAACAATTTATGGGGGGGGGGACATATTATTATATATATTATATACAGCTTTATTTAAGGGCCTAGTGTAGTGTGGAATGGTTGGCCGTAGTGACTAATGTCACTAGCACCCGGATGGGTGATCACTCTGGTTTCTGGCAACGAATCCTCCCCTCGCATACACATGTGATCCTCAACCAACCAACAGTAATCCCCCAAGAAATGCTAATAGCCATAGTTTCCGATAGTTAAGAGTTTAAGACTGGTAAAAGAAAAAAATAGCATTATTTTAGATTCTGAGCGGAGCGATTCATTGATTTTATAATGATGTATGTTTTTTTTTTTGTGTGTTTCTTCAAAAGCATCTTTTCTGATGGGAAAGTGAATCTAGTGGTACTCTGGAGGGTTAAAGATAAAAAAATCTGAGAAAAACAAAACAATTTAAAGAGAAATGGGAATGTTTACGCAAAATCAGTTTTCGACAAAATCGATCTTGGTTTTTAGTGTAACTTTTAAACAAATGACTGTAGATACATTTATTTTTCACTGAATGTTTATATTAGCATTTCCTATACACCATAACATTTTAAAACTATTTTGTCTTGTTTATGGACATTTTCAGTTTCCAGTTTTTTTGGTTTTTTTTCTGTAAATATCAATTAAATTGTATTTGTTGGGTCAAAAAGTGTGAAAATGTAATACAATGCTCTTAATATATTGTTACAATAGCAGTTGAAAATATTAAAAATACACCGTCACACATTTTTTGTAACCAAATTTTGACAAAATATATCAAATAATAAAAATTTATAAAAGGATTAACGTTTATAGGATTGAAAATGTAAAACAAGGTTCCACGGAATTAGGTTATTCTGTAACCGAAAAATAAAATAATATATTAAAAAACAGTTTTTTTTATAGTTATTTTATGTTCAAATTTGGACAAAATCATATTTAAACGAAGAAGAACAATTTTAGTTTTGTGTAGGAATATTTTTCATTATTATTAAAATAGCATAAATATGCAAATATATTAAGACTTATGAATAATATGAAAAAAAACATATAGCCATATAGGTAATATTAAAATTATAGAGTTGATGTCTATAGTACCTACAGAACAAGGTGTTACCACTTACCTTAGATGAATAGTCGAAAAAAAAACAACTATCGACTGCAAAAGTTAAAATTGCAAATATTTTATAATACCAAGAATAAGTCATTAGAATACCTACGTGTAGCTTGTTGTACAGTCGGGCAATACACTGATGGTAGATAAACTCGTCTATTTTAAGAATTTGGTGTATTCAAAATGTCGTTTTAATTAAATATCAAATAAACATACAAATATTTTTTGAAAATAATAAAAATACTATTAAATACTGACGATGTCGAATTGCCAAAAACTTTAACCAAGAGCCAAATTTGCCGACTAAATATTTAAAAAAAAATCTTGATTGGTGGTTGGGGGGGGGGGTGAGACACCCCTCAAGACCCCCTCAAAGGACGGCCCTGCTTATATGTTGTGTACTTATGCTTGGTAGAACAAAAAAAAATATCAAATCAATTTTTTAATTAACTGTTAAAGCCAAATTATTACAATAGTAAATTAAATTAGTTAAGTTATGAGTTCATTATAAAATTAACTATGCCTTGGCAAAAAAGTCAAAAACATTATTTTTTTGAGCTTTTTACGATGAAATGTTCATTGACCAATGATAAAAACCGATAAAACCAGTGGCTGTTTAATATGATGTAAGAAAATGTTTTGTGCCTTCATATAATTATTTTTCGTCACGGTTGGCCCTAATGTTACATCTTATTTATATATTAGGCCCAAGCCCAGATTAAGGGGGGGGGCATGGTCCCGGGGCCCATCTTTATCCCTATGCAAAATATATTTTTTTATGCGTCCAATATTCTTCAAAAAAAAACACATTATTTTTGTAGGTAGGTAAGGTATAGTAGGTAAATTACTATTAATAAATAATAAATAAAAAATAAAATTGTTCCCAATTTTATATCATGATAAAATTACTATAGATAAAGAACTACATATTATGTTTGCCAACAATATTGTTTATGTTTTTTTTTTTTTTTTTTATCATTTTCGATTGCCGATTTAACTATTTAAGTATATAAAAAGGTAGTTACAAAAAAATAATATTTAGCTCTTATAAATTAGGTGTTTCAGTTAAAAGTTATATTATACTAAACTTTAGAGGACCATAGTTAATAATCTAGCGAACCAAAATTGATCATTTGACTGTCAAAATGTTCAGAAAAAAAAGCTTTACTAGAATACATAATAAAAATATAGTGGTTAGATTTAACCATTTTAAAAAATAGAGTCGATTTTATGATTGGTACAACTGCTTGTTTAAAAATTTTGAAAATGTTACAAAAAAATTTCTTGTTAAAAATAAAGAAACACGTCTTTTTTTTGTTTTAACTAAATTCCATATCATTGATCCATAATTGTTAAAAAACCCCGCATACGATGACATCAGGTACACTCTGTATATTTTTTGTATACTAAAAATTGGACAATAATATAAAGTCATTAATATGTAATGATACAATTATTTTGAAGTTAAAGTCGAAAGGGGGCCCACTTAGTGTATGGTGTCCCGGGGCCCAATTGATCCTTAATCCAGGCTTGATTAAGCCATTCGATAAACTAAAAATTATTTTTGGAATGCTCTTATTTTAACTAACAATTGAGTTTAACACATTGATGAACAACGAGATTGTTTTATTACTACAAAAATATATCTTAATAAATAAATCTTAATTGCTTAAAAATTTACTTATTTTAATCTTACTGATATGTTTTACATAACTGATTAGACATCACAATAATTGTTGTACCCTCATTATTTTTTTTACAGTTATACCAAAAGCCTGCTGCTTCGTTCAAGCGTGTATATGCTGCGTTAATTGAGAAATAATTTTTATTTTTAAGTCATTTTATCTTTATTACATTGTCCAAAGAATATACAATGTACTCAACCTTTTTAGAATATTGTAAAATGTATTTAAAGTTTGATTAATTTAAATTTTCTCAGGTGTAAAAAATGACTACTACAGTAGCTATTAATATAGGTACTTTAATTTATAATTAGTATTTTCAATTTGTATACATTTATAACTTTTATAATTAAACTATATTTTTGACTGATTCAAGTAAAAATGAAAAATGTTATTCTTTATTTTGAATCCCGTATCTCAATCATCAATAAAACGTAATTTATCTAAAGCAAGCCCACTGACCACTATTTTTTATTATGTACAGTGGGTCATTAGAGTATTCTATTAAGAATTAACTATAATAGTTATGGACAAAAAAAATTTAATTCTTTAAATACTAAAAGCCAAGGAAAATAGATCGAGTTGGTTTGAAAACAAATTAAGGGAAGGTATTTAGTCATGACTTGTTAACACTAAATCATCACACGCCGCAGTGTTGAACCACAAAATATTCTATGGTTCAAACAACACTTGTGCACACAGTGCATGGTATTATTGGAACTCAAAACAACAGTTATTACATATTACTTACTATATGTTATAAAATTGTAATTACATCACACGGTGCCCATATATATTAACAAATAAGTATTATATATTATAATATTTAGTATGCTTAAAATATTCAAAACAAAAATGAAAATGTGTTATAAACTAAATTGACAGACTAAAAATGTATGACAATGTGATATAGAATATTGTTTTAGATATACAATTTGTTGGCTATTGATATTATTTTTTGATGTGGAAACAATTACTTAGAGTTTACAATGTCTGCCAACGAGTCTGCATATAAATCTAGTCTTCGAGTCATCTGAAAATAAAAAATAAAAATAAAAATTTATGTTACAAAAAACAGTTGAAAAATAATATTACTTGGAAACCCCAATGATCTTTCACTTGTCTACAAAGATTCAAGTCTATTTCTGAAATTAACAATCCATCACGAGTCCTAGAAAGGCCCTAGAAAGTACAATATAAAACATAAACAAATTATTAAATAACTGGAATTTCAAACGACTACAAATTTAATAATTTCATTAAAATAAAATGAAAAATGAAAAATCACTACAGTACTACATTACAGTGGACCCTTTAATATCAAAACGCGGACACCAGGAGGTCTATGGACTACCAATTGGAAACTACTGCTTTATTTTGTAATATTTACTGAAAGTGAATTATATTATTGTTTGTACTATACTCTATTCCCTGTAAGTTGACCCACTTTTTATTTTTTGCGCACGCAGAGGATGGTGAAAACGTTGTGACAATGTAGTTCTACCAAAACACCACGGTGTATACATACTATATTGTTACAAATTGTCCGTGCGCAAAAAAAAAAGTGGGTCAACTTACGAGAAATAGAATATAGCTATAGTTTTTATTGTAATTTTTATACATTACACATTTTATACATTTATAATATAGAGATTGTTTTGTAAATTGTTAAGTTTTTTTCATCAATAAAGAAATAATAATAATATTAAACCAAAAATAATAAATTTGTTTGATATTAAAAAAACTATTATGAGTGTGCTATTTCATAATATATATTATAATTTATAATACATTTTATATCTATATTTAGGGGCTGGAGTAGTGGTGACACAGTAGACTACAACTGACACATTCATAACAAAGTGCAAAAAAATTGTGTGGTTCTACGGGATCACCAATTTTCCATGCTGTTGTCCGATTGCGTGATCCGGTTTCTAACTACGTTCCACTACTCTGGGAGTGAAGACCACACATGTCTCCTCTTAGTGAAGGGGGTAGTATCGTGCATTTAGTGATACATACATAAATAAATAGATCACGTGATCTCCTTACTACCCACTTATGATAAGCATTGACAAAGACCTTGAGGTCGTCAATTTGAGGTTTCAATCAACAAATACAAAAAAAAAATACCTATATTTAAGCATTAAAATTGATTTTGTTAATTTTGTTTATGTTGAAGATTGTTAAGAAAGTTAAAAACCATAATAATAATAAAATGTAATTTGTTAAAACAGTGAAATTGTATTGTTAATTTGGGTTGTTTTTTTTATTATTTTAGTAGATTCTCAAATAAATAATTAAATGTCTTACAGGAGTTCTTGAACCGTCAGGAGCTGTAATGTAGCTCGATCCATAAAAATGGCCAAAATTTTTATGTGCTGGTTTACCATCACCGCTAGTGAACTCAGACGGGAAAGTTTCTGTACCCACTCTGTTGATGGCACAAGAAAAATAACTATTGGCAACTGCAGCTGTTCTGGCCTCAATTCCCCAAAGTGTCTCACTACAATATGTAACATTAAAATGTAATAACTTTGAATTTTTTTTTATTTTAAGCATTATATTCATGTTTACCTTAGACCATCAATTGTAGCTGAAGGGTTAAAAACAATTTCAGCCCCATTTAACCCAAACATCAACCAATTCAGTGGATGGTGGCGTCCATAACAAATATTGATTGCAATTCGACCAAAAGCTGTCTAAATTAATCTACTATTGGGCGTTTTTGTTGTTTTTATTTTCTAGGCTAATTTTAGAAAGTATATACCTCAAAAACGGGATGTCCCGTGTTTCCTTCCATGTAGTAAGTTGACTCATTAAAATCACCCACTCGAGGTATATGGTTCTTTCTATGTTTTCCAATTACTTTGCCAAAGTTATCTATGACTACAGCTGTATTCCATATCACTTCTTGTTCATCACGTTCTAGAATTGGTGATACGATAACCATGTTGTACAGTTTGCAGATCTGTTGAATAATGTATGGCTTATTTGATTTTAAATGCACGAGCTATTATGTTATGCAATACTCACGTCTTTTAGAAACAAAGTTGTTGGCCCTGTTTCAGCTGATTCAGCAAACTCGCACCATGGAAATTTTTCTCGTGTACAAAACACAAAGGGCATAGCTAAAACATTTATATTTCATTAATAAATATATATGTATGCATTTTTTATTGGCTGTCTTACGCCAGGCTTCTTGAAGGCATAACACATTCACGTTAGCTTCAGCCGCAAGTTTTATTATCTTGCTTATCTTTTGATAAATTGCGTTACGTTGTTCAACTAAAGGAGCTGTTGTTGGAAGAACAATTTGATTTTGAATAACTCCAACTCTTACAGTCCTTATAAAATTCATAGTTTTAAAATTATTTACTTTACAAACATGATATTTTAGACTCTGAGCGATAAATGCATTAATTTTGCAATGATGCGATTTTATATTTTTATTTTATTTTTGTGTCATTTTTGGAGCAATAAAAGTTCTTTATTTTTTTGGGAGGAAAGTGAACTTAAATGGTACTTTAAAGGGTTAAAAGTACCTACAAAATTCACAGCACTTTTCTCAATAATTGGGAAAAACTAAATGGAATTATAGAAAAACCGGAATTTTACACAAAACTCGTTTTTGACAAAATTTATATCCTTATTTAATTTTAATTTTATAATTATTATGACTGAGATATTGATAAATTTAAATGTGTATTTTTATCTATAAATGTCATTTAACAAAATGTATGTTCTGGCAAAATACTAGAAAATTGAATACAAGGTTATTACTGAGATCCAAAAATCTAAAAAATATATTTGCACAATGCATTTTTTTTCATTGACATTGGAAGTTCAAATTTAATGATATTCGATACTTCAACAAAAACAATACTTTTTGTTGAAAGTATAAAGAATATTTGAGGAGATTTGGAACTTTTACATAATATTATTACAATTTACTATACACAATTAAATTTTCAGAATATTTATATAAATTTTAAGTTAATTTGAATTCAAATTTAACACATTCATTTAAGTCTAACATAGCCTTGACCGACTCAACAGTGAAGTACACCCAACGCCTACTGCACAGCAGATTTACCTAATTGCCACATTTTAAATTTAAAAATGTATAATCAAACCACATTTTTAATAACATTATTAAGATATATTAAATAAAAATAAAAGATTTGTAATACCGTTTTTCTCGTAACTCTTCAGTCAAACTATCAAATTTAAAACCTTTAACTTCCACATTATCTACATTATTTATACATGACTCTGGCAGTTGAAGTTCCCTGAAAAGTGTACAATTTAAAGTTAAAAAATCTTTGTTTACTTTAATTATTGTTATTTTAGATTAAAACTGTATCACATATGAATTAATATTAATATTTAACTATAATACAATTTGGTTTTTGTATATTATACTGTATTGTTATCTTCTAGGATATATCATTAAAAAATAAGATGAATAAACTTCTCTGTAAATATAAATTATCCTTTTTCTAAAAATATCTCTGATTGGAAACATATTTCTTGAGCAATTATTAAAAATAATATTAAGTACCTAATTATGAATTATGCAAAAAAAAAATTCAACATTTCATTTTTAACTAAACTATTATATTATATTTTTTTAAAGAAATTATCTATTTACTCCTGTGTTTAGTACAAAATAATGTTAAAAAAAAACTATTGCAAATAGGTATTAGGTACTAGAAGTTTTCTAAAAGTTTTCACTTTTCAAAATCAGAGTAAAATATCAAATTAATCAAATTATGAAATTAATTCAGAGGGTATTTTTTTAAAAATCAAGTTATCTGCTCTCTATTTCTTTGCATATTAGTCATTACAAAAATAATTAACACCCTGTAGGTTAGAGGTTTCATCATCAAATCACAATTATTTCACAGTTGATAAAATAAACTCACTCTAATTTTTTTCCATACAAGATCCTCTGCACATGATTTAATTCTTCCTGTGGAATATATTTCTCCAAACAAGTATCAATATTTTGAAACATTTTCAATCGTAGTGGACAGTAAAAATGTATAAAGAACGTCTCGATGGTGACACCTTGAATCGTGTATCTTGTTACAATAATAAAATAATAAAATAATATATACATCCATTACTTTAAAATAAGACATAAGTCATACATTGAGTGGTACCTATAATATGTGTCTATGTCTATATCATATTATTATAGGTTTTCCATATTAGTGTAATGCGTCTACTTACGTTTATAAGACAATTGTTGGGTGATGGATAAAAATAAAAACAAGGTGTAATTTAAGGTTCAGCCTGATGTTTCATAAGACGACAATTGACGTTTTTCGTTTTCGTCCTTCGTATAAGTCATACTTCATATCTTTATGATATTATTATTCAATAGACATTAATTATTAATAATAATTAATAATACTTTACAAACTATCTATTTGTTTTTTTATACGATCCGAACTCCGCCCAATTTGTTTACAACCATGAGCGATTTACGAATTTAGATAAGAAAAAAATGCACACGACTTCTACATCGTTCTATGTATTCTACATGAGCACGTGATTGTCGTGATTTGTGATTACAGTTTTCAAACGGTTATCATATAACAAGAAACAACACTCGCGTTATTGTTTTTTTATTAGTATAAAAATTAAGAAATAATTATGGGTACCTAATACTGCTAATACCTATATTAGTAGTTAACGTAAGTTATTAATTCTAATTCTGAATTTCAAGACTCGAGAGTCGAGAATAAGTCAGTAAATCGTTAAATATATACGTTGTACTTGATAAGTTTACTAGTCATGTATTAAATAATTAATAATCTTTAACGAATTGTTATAATACATCCCAAAACACTTAAGTAAGTAATCTTGATTGTATCAGTATTTGGAAAAAAAAAACGTATTGAGACAAGTGAAATATGTAAATCAATTATCAGGTTATATTATCCATGTCCACATAGGTAGGTAGATAGGTATTCGATATAGAGTGTATTTTTGTTTGTTTAAAAAAAAATACATATGAAGAATACCTAATAATAAAAATATCTACCTACCTAAATGTTTGTAAAATACTACAGTCTACACTCTACAGTGTATTTATGTTAATTGTTAAACATTGTGGTGAATACCAAATTATGGTAATAACTAATAAGGTATTAATAGTTGAGTATTGAGTAGATAGTAATTAAAATTGTTTAGCATTCAGTTATCTACAAAATTAGTAGGTACCTGTTTACATCAAATGTTTTTTTTTCAGTATGTCCAGTGATTTTCCTATTGAAATAAATCAATCATTTGAAAATGTGCAGTCAGTTAATAGTAATAGAAGCCTTAAAGGATTGTTTTTAGTGGGATTAACGGGTATGCTTAGATATATTTCTCTTTAGTACCTACAACATTCCATGAAGTTTTTTGTCGATCTTAGGGCCAGTTGTACCATCTCTGATTAAAGTTAACCGGAGTTTAATCGGCCAAATTCCCCGGTTAAATATCTGTTATTAGCTGATTAAGTTTAATTGAAGTTTAACCGTAGACGGTACAACTGGCCCTTATAGTGTGCTAAACAATTTAAATCTGTATTATATTATTATATTATTATATTATATTATATTATATTATATTATATTATATTACGCTTATATTTTGATATATACATATACAACTATACAAGTATTCATTATCCTAAACATGTTATAATTTAGACTATTGTTATTGGTTATTGTAGGTGGTATTTCCATTGCATTGAGCGTAATTTGTTATCCGTTCATATCTCCGGCTTTAAGGAAAGTATGTTTACCATATGTTCCAGCAACCAACTTGCAAATCCAAAACGTTCTGAATGTAATCAAAGGACGAAAAGGGAAATTAGTGGACTTAGGCAGTGGCGATGGAAGAATAGTATGTAAATAAATATGTTTTAAACATTTACAGTCTTGTATGACACTATGACTAATGACTATAATATTGTTGGTAAATGTTTTAATTTTTAAAATAATATCTTACATAGGTTATGAATACGGCAAAAGCAGGATTTGAATCAGTTGGTGTGGAGTTGAATTTTTGGTTAGTGATGTATTCACGTTTGGTCGCCATGAAATCTAAAATCCAGCCTTCTCCAAAATTTATTCGAACAGATTTGTGGAAATATCACTTAGCACCTTTCACAAATGTTGTAATATTTGGTGTTGAAGAAATGGTTAGTAATAGTTTATTAATTTTCTGTGAATATATATTATATCCATACAAAAATATATTTGTGACACATTTTTATGCAACCTGGTTAGGTTAGATTATAAATTGTATTTTTAAACACTATATATTAAATGTGCTTTAATTTTAATTTTTAGATTGTCCATATATCATAATTTTAGGTATTGTTAATATAAAACTGCAATACTGTGTATAGTATATTAGTATGTAGTAGTGTGTATGATCAATGTCCATAACCACATACTTAAGAGTTAAGACCTTTAACTATAACCCATAGGTCTATTTAAAAATACACATTTTTTTTTTAGATGTATGATCTTGAAAAAAAGTTCTCCGAGGAATTGTCTGAAGGAACAGTAATAGTTGCTTGTCGCTTTCCTCTCCCAAATTTGGAACCTTATTTAGTCATTGGCACAGGAGTTGACAAAGTTTGGGCCTACAGAATATCAAAGACCAAACCATAATCCATCAGAATATGTTTTTATAGGTAATAATATTGTTTATGTAATTTATTTTAGTATAAAAATGTATATTATGTAGCTGACAAACTGACATGAAATTGTCTATGTATAGTTAAATAACAAATAAAATGAATAATTTGTGAACAAATATTTAGAACCAAAATAGTTTTTGAATTTTTAATTACAATTTAAAAATGAGGAAATAAATTAAATTGTGAATCAATAACAGTTATATTTCAAAAAATTTAAGTGGACTAATAATTTAATATTACAACAGTGGAGATTAAATTTGAGGGTTGAATAACTCAGGTACTCTCATTGTATTTAAAAAAATGTTAATATTGTATACTTATTATATTTATAATTAATTAATCATTAGTTTTTATTTATTCCGTCAATATATAATATTTCACTAATAGTTCATACTCATAGTTGTATTAGGTGTGTATACTCCCCGCTATGAGAGAAGGAACCTGTTTCGCAGGTGCATACTGTAGGCATCCCCCCCACTTTGTGCGATTTAGCGTATGTCAAATATGTGGCGATGTGCGGAATCGAACGTGTTTCGGCCGGGACACGGGTTCCTTCTCTTGTGGCGAGGAGTATAGTAGGTAGTACTGTAGTTGGTTCCTATTAGGTAATTATCCAAACAATTAATAATATATACAATTTAAATACATAATTTGAGTACCTGTGAGTATCTGAACATTTGAAATAAAATACAAATAGGATCAAGTAAATGTATTTTTATTTTCTATTATATAACAAGATAATGTATAATAAATAATAGTTTAAATAAATAATTTAAGTTAAAAAATACATAATGAAATGTCAATGGATATCACACTCTTATCGTTAAGAGATCACAGTAAAAAAAAAAAATGCCTTTTGATGAAAAGTTAAAGACAACTAATTAATGAATATGAAAATAAATTGGGTATATTAATGTCAATAATAATTTACAGTTTTTGCTTTAAACTTTTTTGAACAAAATTTAAAGTTATTATTCAAACAAAAAATTGAGCAATTAGATTAGCTAGTCCAACTAATGATATTGAAACGTGAAAAATGACTGATCCAAATGTTAAAAGATTGCGTCTTCTCTGAGATGCCAAATGTAACATGGTTGGTAATGTATATATGTAGACAAATCCACAAATTGCTCCACTAAATCTAAGGAAAATACAGCAATATATTTTTATGTACAGTTTAATTAATAAAACATGGTTACACAATCAAAAAAATTAAGGATTTTCTTACCGTATTACTGTTCCTATATGTGGCATGAAGATTGCAAATAATATGCATATGAAAATGACAAAACAATTAAGTGCAATAACGTGTAAAACACTTGGGTATATTGATAGCTCAAGAGCTGCGAACACTTGTACTCGTAGCATATATGATATCAAAGGGTAGACAGTCAATAATTGAAAGAATAGAAAAACTCTAGCAATAATGCTAAAGACATCTGTTCTAGGAAAGTTGTTTAAAAAGTTCTGAAAAAAACAAAAGTTATTAGATGTATAATGCTAGGTATAACTGTATAAGTGGTATAAGAATATTTTCTGCATGTGTACTACGTACAAACGTACATTTTGTATGATATTTCAATTGTTATGTAAGTTTTCAGTATGTAAAATATTGCATTTTAAAAATGCTCAAAACACCGTTAAAAATTAAAATATTGTAAAACACCAACATACAAATAGAGATTCACTCTAATATTAATGGCTACAACACAAAATTGTTTCTTTTGACTCAGATTTGCTATGCTCTGTGTTGTAATTTGCTTTGTGAAGCTGGAGATAAATGACAACACGTGTGGGTATGTCTACTTAATAACATATAGAAATTATTAATGAAGTGTTTGATATAAAGAATTAAATCTGTTCATGTACAAAAATGTTATTTAACTAATAGAAATAAAAATGCCAATATTTCAACTGTTCTAAATTTTAAAAAAATTTTATAATAATTGTATTTTACAGAGGTGAATGGGTTGGTAATATGCATTTTTTATTTTATATTGACATATAGATTAGGTTATTATATAATTTCTTTATAAAGTAGATAATGAAATGATTTGTTAGAATTTGGATTTTAAAACGTGTATTCTTATTTCTTATTCTAGTTTATGTAGTATATACTATATTATGTACATTGTATTTTATTATCTACAGTAGAGTTATAGTTCATAAGTCATATTATTGACTTTTGGCGAACTCTGTACTTTGGCCCCAGAGTGTTCATTAGAAAACAGTTTGTAGAATATTAGTAGTTGTTATAATATACTTACATCCTCGATGCAAGATTTAGCTAATGGAAAACACACATAGAAAGTAATTCCAATCAATAAATACGTTAGGAGAACAAGAGTGAATGCTATTGATAGATCACGACCCTAAATGTATTAAACAAAATTTCACAATTAGTATTTGATTTTAAAATAATAATATAGTTACTTGCGTTATGTTTTTGATTTTCATTGTTTCTCATTATTGTAATGATAATATTATGTATGAACATCGATAATGTAAGCATTCCAGATGTTGCAGGAAATGTGTTTTTATAGAATTCAGAATAATCTGTGAATCCTCCTAGCGTCGGAGCAGACATATTTATTCCCCAACTATAAGATTTTATCAGGACAAATATGAATAGATACAGCACAGCCAGAGTTCCTAGAAAATCAATTTTAATGTATGTAAGTTTTTTGTGGATGTACAGAATGATTCACCAAGCATGCTCACTTCCATTTTTTCCTTTAATAATGAATTTATTCAAAGTCTAATTTTTAAAACTTTTAAATACACTTAAAGTCCATATTATCAAATTCTCGAAATTGTTTGTACTTAGCAAGCCATATCCAGTCGTGATAGAAACTTCTGTTTTTCAAATTAACCCCCCCCCCCTTTTAATATAAATTATTTAGTGAGTTTGGAAATGTTTATGTAAGTACCTTTTCCAGGTTAGGTTAGGTTACAAAAATATAAAATAAATGTAACATTGGATATAGTTTTTACTATACTTGGACCATTTTTACAAACTATAAATATTAACAGATTAATATCAAATAGGTACTACAATTTTCAAATAGCTATACAGCTATAGCCTTCCACTTATTCCAAACCAATTATCATGAGCCTATTATCTTTAAAATACAAAGATAAATACTTCGTAAACCACTTGTTCGAATTTTGATTTTGATACAACATTTTCAGCAAAAATGTACGCTAAATAATTTACAGTAGAAAAGTGGGTTGTCATTTGAGAAACAGAAGTTTGAGCACATAGGACACTCCTTAAGTGGTACAAAAAATTCAAAAATTTGAATAAATGATAGGTACCTTTATGTCTAGTCAGATTTTGAATAACTGCATTATTAAAGAAAAAATGGGGGTAAGCATCCTTTTTACAGTGATAAAAAGTTGCTATCGTGTTTGTCCCTGTCAATAAATATTATATTTTTAACATTTTTTTTTTTAAGTTTTTAAACTATTTGTTACCATTATAAGTACCAGGTATCTACTAAATTGCTCTTTTGAAATTGTATTTAAGATTTGAAAATTATTAACTGTATATTATGTTAAATAATAATAACATTCTTTTAACAACCTAACAGAAAATTTGCCCCAATAAACTGAATAAATTAAAAATATTTTTGAGTGAAAATACTTAAAAAAAACTAAATGATGTGTCCATCTACAATATTATTCAGTAATTATGTGCCCAATCGAAATGAAAAAAAAATATATTATATAAATATAAATCATCGACTTATGAGACAAATGCTACTGCTCTAAAGTTACAACCAAGCGTGTAGTCGAATGCCCATTAATTTACCCAAAGAATTAAACTTCGTGAAAAACGTGGCCGATCTAAAGTTCAACAGCGGGGCAACGATCACGACGAGAAATATCGGTACCGTCGTATTGAGATCCCAAATTCGTTCGTACAATGTCCACTGCCTGGTCGTGTTGGACGTAGCATTTATGAAGACCGCACTGTTTGGGCATATTACTGAAACGAAATAATTACAATAATTTACATGGTGTGATAAGCAAATTAGTTTTTTTTTTTGGGGGGGGGGGTGATTAGCACCTCTAAGTTGGCCCTTGGCACCCTCATAATTTATGCTATTTGTAGAATAACTGAAAAATAAGGAGGTTCATCGCCCTCAGTTTTTTCATTGAAATGTGGCCACTATGTGCATGCGTACATAGTACCTGCGTCAAAACTTAAAAAGTTCACATGCAACGTCGATATTATGTCAAAATTAGTCTAAATCAATTTATTCGGAATCATAATGGATTTAAATTGTAATACCCCGACTTACGGTTAGTAGTGTTGAACTCAAACGCCCCGGTGTTTTCGTCTGCAAAGAGCAAATCTGCAGCCGCGCCAAAAGTTTATTTTATGAATATAGGTTTATCAGTCGGTCACAATAATATTATAATTTTGTCTGGAAAAATTACAATTTTGCCTTACCGTGAATATATCCGACAGAATAATATAAAAAATTCGACATCAATATCCAGTACACAATGTTGGCACCTAGTAAAATGATGAACGAGAATAGTTTCGCTATGACTTCGGCCCAAGGGCCCAGCAATTTTTTGCTCAATTGTGCTACTTCTCCGGTATCATTTCCTTAAAAAAAATAAATTAACTTCACAATATAAGAAAATATAATTTTTTCTTATTTTATATTTTTATCCCTCAATCGATTTTTACATTGGTAATATTAATTATCAACCTTTTTCACTTATTTTCAATTTTATTCGTGGGCGGTGGGCCATTAATTAATCATGGTTTTTGAAATATTATATTTACCGTGAAGTACTTGTACCCTAAGAATGCGATTTGACGTGTATAAGCACAGTGCAGCTATGACGAACATTAGTAATAACCCCATCACTAGTCCTGCACGTTCCACGCTCCAAGGCATTGCCAATAGGGATGTTCCCATTATTGTGTTCCATATTGCGAAACTAAAATCAAAATATTACATTATTTATACTACCTTTAGTCTGCAGGTCAGTGGTCAATCTATATCGGTCAAATAAATAAGGATGATAAACAAGATGATTCGGCATTCGCCATTTAATGCGGTGGTAATTTTTTGAGATTTGTCACGGCGTGGTGTGACGACATTATTACTGATGGCAAAATTAATCTATGCATAGGTCAAAATATCCGAGGAGTCACATATTGAAGCTCTTTCCTGACGACGCATTGAAGCTGATCTACAGTTAATTAATTCCCTTTCAAATGGTTTTGAATCCTTCAGATCTTCTTTGAAGAATCTCTTTTAGGGCGCCTTTTTATATTTCCCGAAATCAGTTCGTTTTTATATCCCACGTCAGGACGTCACATCATTTTGTACGGCAATAACCACCCCCATCACTGTATGCTCAGAACCTATATATACTCCATAAACAACCTACATTTTCGTATTTTTATACTATGGATCTTATACTGTACCTATGTCTTATATTATGTTTGTTAACCACATTGTAACTTCCGTTTGGCGTTTATAATCCAATATTAAGTGTTAGTAGTAATAATAAAAAAGTAAACGGTCAACATAAAAAAAATAATATTTACTAACGTAAGTAGATAAATAGGTAAACAGCGAGTACATATATACCGAGTTAATGAACGGATATTGAATTAACTGAAGTAATTATCCATGATAAAAAAAAAAATATTATGGTGTTTTTAAAACCGAAAATTCGTAATTATAAAATTCGAATTGTAATAACTTTCATTTATACGGCATTATAGTTCTGTATGAGTGAATAATAATCGATTTAATCCATTCCATCCTTCCGACCCTCTCTTGCTCGTAATCATAATGTAAATATGTCACTGACCTCAGGTGGGCACAATGATTTTCACAATAATCATCATTTATAACTCGCGACCGAACTTGGTTGAAAATATTTGTGTATTTTTATTTTGAAAATTTGTGTGCCCTATATTACTCATTAAGCAATAATTATAATATATATATATATATATATATAAGGAAACCCTGCACCCGTTGGTATTTTACGGGTTGTTGAACCTTACGTCGGTAGACCCGGCGTGCGTGAGGTGCAACGACCCCAGACTCTCCGGGGTTAGTTTGGCAGATCAATAAACCCCTTTTCGCCGCCGCCGCTGTCTATACGTTAGTCTCGGGGAATCGCGCGCATTCCGCTGCCGACGTCGCACCGCGGCTTTACCCCCCATTCATCGAGAGCCGGCCGGCCGGCCGGTCGGCGGTCACTGTTATATATTTATACATATATAATATATATATAAATATATAATATACAAGACATGCTCGTTTACGATTTCCGTCACTCTTCGACCACAGTAAAAAAATATTATATGGACTATCTCGATCAGTGCACATAATACATTTTAAACGACATCTCTCACTATCTCGCTTGATGGCCCTCTATCTCTAAAATATATACGGCACGATCGTTCGTGTTTATCCACAACCTCAGCGGGGATGACACTGCAACAGCAGACGTCAGACTGCACCGAATAGTAAGGTAATGCACACGCGCATGTATTTAGCTGATGTAGAGTAGTCAGTAGACGTGTGTATTTAATACTATAATAATAATTAGTATGTAATCTAATAATATATAAACTGTGAATAATGTAATAATATGATAGAAAAAGTGAGTGCGTGTATAATGCATATAATCATATCGACATATCGTATACATGAGTTTTAAAATACTCTGACTTTTATTCTTAACCCAACTTTACCCACCCGGTTTCTATACACGACATGACCCACGTAGTACTCAAATATACTAAGACTAGTAAGACTCAATGGTATTATGTGTTGGTGAATATTATAGACGAACTCATCATTTCATGTTACCACGTGTCGCAAGTTACAGCGGATATCCGTAAATATTTAATACATTTATATAAAGGTTACATTTTAAGTAGTTTTTAGAAATACTGATTACCTATTACCTATTATTCGGGCATGTACCAGTTGCCCCCAAAATTACCTTTTTTTTAAACCAATTCCCCTGAAACTACCTAAAGCTAAATGTAACAGTTTTCCTCGACCAAATGCACCAATTGCGCTCATATATAAATGTATATACGATTACAATATATAGCACGTAAAATAGGAAAGGTAAATATACAAATAATAATATTATAAGTAGTAATTATTATAACAAAACATAATACGTAATAATATTAAATCTAATTTTTTATTATTAATTTTTTTTTTTTACAACTATCACATTGAATATTCCACTTATCATTATTATTATATTATTTATTATGAATTTTTTTCTACCATTTTATACTATTTTAAATAATTTTATTTATTATTTGTATATTTACCTCCTCTATTTTACGGGCTATATATTGTAATCGCGTATATAGTATATATTAACATGTAAGGACAAACGGTACATTCGGTTGTGGGCAATTGGTACATTTGGTTGTGGGCAACTGGTACATTTGGTTGTAGGCAACTAGTATATTTTTAAAATCCCTATAACAGCCGTGGGGTGCAACTGGTCAACACCCCATTATTCGAATTTTAGTTTTTCAACCTTGAAAGTCCCAATCTTTCGTTTATTGTACACATTTAAACTTTCAGCTATCGAGTTCAATCTAATGTTAAATGTAGACAGAATTATATGTGACAGTTGGTAGCTTATTATAATTGTTAATATTTATACCTATTATAGTAGACAATTGTTTTTTGACTCTTTTAGAAAATATCGTGACTTTGCTACAATTTACAAGTTATAACAGTATTTTTTATATATAGGTATACCTATATGTATATTTGTTAGGTAATAGTAAGTTTGGAATCGTTTTATCGATTTTCAAACGTTCACCTCGTTATTATAATACCTTATGAAATACGACGAACAACCCTAAAGATTAATTTAAAAATACTATTATATCTTTTTTACTATATATACACAATTTGTATCATATACATACTATTTACGATGTTATTTGAACTATGACTTATTGATTAACATGAGATATATTATACTAGTTAAATAAGTACCTAATTACCTAACACTTATAATACTTAATGGACGATAATACAAATTAATATTTAAAAATAAAATACTTACATGGTAATTATACTATTTTGGGTGTATGGCTCATTGGTAATCTATAAAATATTCAAACAAACTGTTGTTAGTTTAATAAGTCATACAATGTGATATTGTAAAAATGTATATAATAACTTGGTGAAAATATTTACTAAAATAAGAATTTTAACCTATTTAGTTTGAAAATTTAAAATTATAATGACCAGAGTATTGGCGATGTATACAAAGTTATATATTTATAAATTATAATATATTAGTCATGAGCAGAGTCCATATTTAAATAATTTATATTTTTGTTATTGAAATATATATTAATAAGTTATTTTAAATTTTGATCGGAGCGATATATATACCTATTGGTTTTACAATTATTGAATTGTGTATTTTATTTTTTTATATATATATATTTTTACAGCCATCATAACCTTTTGAAGCCAACAAATTAGCCAATCTTCAACTTAGAAGGTGGTTTCTCGTTTCTGGAATGAATTTGGGTTAAGTTTGTAATTGGATGGAGAGGGATTAAAAGTAAAAATGTACAGTGCCTTCTATTCAACATGATCGGGAAATACGGGAATATTTAAGTATTTTTTGTTGTTAGACAAAAAAAAAATACTGTGGATACTTACATTTTCACAAAATATTTAAATTTTTTTTACCATTTCCGTAATTTGACTTACATTTATGGCGTAACAAACTTTTTTTATTTTATAATGGATATTCAATCCCCCTCTTCTGCCGTTCAATGGCCCCATTCCTCTGATTCAAAATATAGTGATCATTAAAAGAAAAAAGGTGCTCTGCTGTACAGTAGGTTACAAGTGGGTCACTGTATAATGGATGGTATTAAATTTGAATTCAATGATATAATATCATTGTATAAGAAAAACGATTCTGAGCGGAGACGGTATGTCAGTCTATAGGTATAAGACATATTATATACTTTTTTTGAAAACAGAATTAACTATTTACGTGGAATCTTGTTTTAAATTTTCAATCCTTAAATATAAAAGTTGAATATTTTATAAATTTTTAATTACAAAATAATTATTCAATTTTAAATTTGATAAATTTTGTCGAAATTCGATCTTTAAATGCTTATAAAAAAAATTGTGCCTATGTATTTTTAGTATTTTTCAACTGATATTTTAGCAATATATCTGGAGCCTTGTATTAAATTTTTACACTTTTTGGCCCAACAGTTAAAACTTTATTGATATTTATAGAAAAAAAAACTAAAAAAATTGAAAACTGTAATTGTCCGTAAACAGCTCAAAAAGAGTCAAAATATTTTCGAAACTGTATAGTGTATAGGAAATGCTAATATAAACATTCAGTGAAATTTTCATGTATCTACAGTTATTAGTTTTTGAATTACAACAAAATAAAGAAATCGAGTGAATATCCAATGTTGTAAAAATTTGAATTTCAAACACTCATTACTAATTTTAGTGATTTTTCCATATTTTGTCAATTTTTGAACTTTAAATGCTTATAAAAAAAAACTTTGGCTAAGGATTTTTAATATTTTTCATTTGCCTTTGAAAAAATATACTAGGAGCTTTCTATTAAATTTTCAAGCCGTTTTAACTAACAAATAAAATTTTATTGATATTTTTAGAAAAAAAACTAAAAAAAAATGGAAAATGAAAATATTCCTAAACAGTTCCAAACAAATCATAATATTTTGAAAATTTCATCGTATACAGAAAATGCAAATATAAACAACCAGTGAAAATTTCATGTATGTTACCTATTTGTTTTAAAGTTACACCAAAAACCAAATTCAACTTTGTGAAAAGTCGATTTTGCGTAAAAATTCCCGTTTTTCCTTAATTTTTCTTTTGTTTTAACGGTGCTTTTGAAAACTGCTGCTAAATTTTTACTTTTGACCCCCCAAAGTACCAACTAGATTCACTTTCCTATCAGAAAAAATACTGTTGAAGAAAGTCCAAGCACTTTTACTGTCCTAAAAGCTGATGACAGACACGAAAAAAAAAAATAAAAAAAAAAACACACATCATTGTAAAATCAATACATTCATCTTTCCACTTAGAATCTAAAATTTGAAAATTTTATAGTGTACAGAAAATGCGAGTATAAACATTTGGCGAAATTACCCATTTCAAATATATTTAAACCCCAATTTAAACTATAAACTGTTTTTCGTTTTTGAACTACAACAAAATATAAAAATCTATTGAGGACAATATATAGTGAATTTGCATTTCAAACGTTCATAAAAAATTAATTTAATTTTGAGGTAAACTTTTATTGCTTGATACAGGTAGAAAACTTCATGAATTATTTTGTATTAATACTTTTTTTCTTAGATAAAAATAGAATTTTTTTTATGAATTTCTAATTACAAATTAATTTTCAAAGTTTTTGACTTTGAGAGATTTATTTTTTTTTTGATATTTAAAGAAAAAGCTAGACATAAAAAAATCAATAATGTTACATTTCTTTTAATAGCTCAAAAAGTACAATCATGTACAAAAAATGATAATATATACATTTTGTGAAAATTATAAGTATTTACCGTTAATTGTTTTTGAGTTACACCATAATAAAACAATATCAAATAAACTGGTTTTGCGTAATTCTAACTATTTTAGATTTGCTATCAGAAACTACATCCAAAGCTGAAAAGGAAGCATTTTTGTCACCCCAAATGATGATTGCCACACAAACATCATTATAAAATCAATACTTTCATGGCCCCTCTCAGAATCTAAATAAATTACCAATGGTACCTAGGTAATGTATATAAAATTATTAAATATTAAGATAAATTCTCGCCGGCTCCGCTAAGGATTGTAATTATTATATGCAATGATTTATAATATTGAATTTAAAATTTAATTAACCATGACAGTAACTCGTCCATACCTACATTAAAGCGAGTTTTTATCATTGTTATTACATGTATATTGTCCATTCAATTAGTCTTTGTTATTTTTATAGGACATTATAAGAATTTTATTTTGTAATTTGTTACATGAATTAATAATGTATGACAAATGACAATTATATACATTTTAAATCTACCTGTAACAACTTATTTTGTTATTATTATACGTAAGTTATTTTATTACTAGTTAGTTTTCATCATATTTAGTTAATATCTAATATTATTATTTTTTAATTCTTAAATAAAGAAATAATTTGTTGAGTTTGTAACATTTTAGATTCTGAGTGAAGGCAATGGTTTTAAAATGATATTGTTTAGGTTATTTTTTTTAAATATTTATAAATGTATTTAATTTCGTACCTTATAAAACACTTTAATAAATTGCAATTAGTTACCTGTAGAAATTATAGAATGATCAAGTAACATTATGTTAATATTCAAATCATTAATATGCGACTTAAAGTTTTCAAAAAATATGCGATGAAAATTAGGTCCCTTCTAAATCAACTGATTCGTGTTCAAAATATAACCAAAAAAATGGAATACGATATTATTTTCAAGGCTTATTATATCATATTTCTGTTTACAAAATTCGGCGCATAATACCATATTATAGTACCTAACTATATAGACGCATTATGAACTATACTAGGGTAGTATAATACTTCTATTATAAAATGTAGTTATTATAGTGTGATTGACGATTGTTATTGATGTATTAAAATAAACTGTTTTAATCATTTTCTATACACATATAAATTATTATAATACAACATATTTTATCGTTCTTTAATTTTTAATCTATTTGCTTACCTACGAAAAATTATTTTAAATGTATTATTTTATTTTTAATATTTTTTATTACAAACGTATTTACATAAAACGCATGTGGCAAATATTAATGATCAGTATATTTCTTATCGTACATTTTAGTTTATAATATATCTTATCAATTCATTATTTATTAAGTGCCTAATACGGACGTAGGTACTGTTGTAGGTAATTTTTAAATTTATAATGCCAACAAAAATAATTACAAAGTATAAAATGTTAGGTTAAAGTAGTTATTATATAAAATACTTGTAGTAAAATATTAATAATGAATTATTCTTAACGATAGTAATGTAGTATCATTTAGTTCTATTGACGATTATTATTTTGTATTATATACCTATTAGTTCTTAACTGAAATATATTTTTTTAAACTATTAATTGGTTGTTGGTACGAAATTGTAAATTGAAAAATGAAAAATGTAAACTTACAGTATCGCCTAATGGAATGTAAGGCTGTAATTTTCTATAAAATTTTGGCCTGTTTAGTATATCATAGTCCAAACTAAAAGATCTGAAAAATTATTACATTCATGTTACACAGTTTAATAAATGATTACTATATTTACTTAGAACATGAACATGTATTTAACAATGTATCTGAATGTCGAGCATACCTCAAGTAATACGGATATAGTAATTCATTGGCCTTTGACTGAGTAGTGGGTGATTTATTATTCTCTAAATCACTGTTTTCCGAGTCATATTTAAATATGCATCCATTGTCTCTGAAAAAAAAATTAGAATATTTTTATAGGCACTATATAATAGTATAGTGTAAAAATGTTGGACTTACGCTGTGCTTGTTCTGCTCAATTCTGAATTTAATAGTGGTTGGATTTCACAATCCGTAATCATAGACTTGGCCCTGGGTCTACTGGACCTTTTAAACGATTTCTTAGAAACTCGACCCATTGCTTTCAAGTGTTCATAATAGAAACAAATAGGAAGATTGTTTTAATAATAAATTTCAATACATTTACTCCACATGGTTACATATGTAACGCACTCGTAAGACTCGCTCGGACCTGTCTTTTATTTTTCCATTTGCACTACTGCTACCTGCTGTGCTATGTTGTTCGAATCTTATCAATAACAATGACCCTTAAACCCTATTCACCTTGTTCTCGTAGCCTACTTTATGGAATCACGCGCGTCTATATTACAATTTACAGTATAGTAGACCGTCAATAATTTTCGGGCAAAAGATGCATAAACGTTTAAATAAATCAGTTTGGTCAAAGGCGCAAAAAAGAAGGCGTGGCCTGAAAAAAAGAAGATAATAACAATGCTTATGCAAAAACTGAGATTGAAAACAAGGCCAGATTAAATTTAATTTAGTAGTTATAGTCAGCACCGAATGGCCAATACCGATTCGCATATAAATATATATTATGTACACCTATTTATTATATGCCTACATTTGTGTGATAAAAATGTAATTGCTAATTATTTTTAAGGTATGTACCTACGTACTAAGTGTGTATTCGCTAACATATTTTATGCAATCTTCGATATTATTGTTGAACGATTTTCATGGCCAATCGGTCTGTTCAATATTTATAGATCATTGAAGCTGAATAACATGTTATCTCTCATATTATTCCGTCAATATAATATATATAGGCGCCTCATCGTGCATATATACTCAGACATAATATTATATTGTATTAGCCAATAACCATAACCCATAACCTATTTAGTCAAATCGTATAATATTTAGTAACGATTCACTATACTATATTTGATGTAAAATGTCGATTAATATAAATAATAATTAATCGCATAAACTAAAAGTGACGAGCAAATAAATAAATAACGCTACTTAAACAATATTCAAGGAGTTATTACTTATTAATATTATTATAAGTACCCACTTAATTCTTATAATTTTCAACTTATAATTAAAATGTCAAAATATAACACTTAATTATACTTACCATTGTTACAGATTTTATGTAATATCAAATATGTATGTTTTGAGTTATTTTCGTAATAATTTTGTTACTGTATCGAGAGCACATAAAACAATTGCTGGAATATTCAACTGCCATAGGACATGGCTCATAATAGGTTCTACATAGTAATTATAAACGCGTGTGGTTCAAAGTGCTCATATGCGAATACTGTGGTCTGGGACTAGTTTGACATTATATTATAGAGAAAGGTAACGTTTTATGTACATGTGACATGGTGTGGACGGAAACTTATCAGATGACCTATGGGCTATGATATAAACAACCTTATTTTATAGTTTATTTAAAGGGTGGGAGGCGAGAGTTGATATTTCCCATAGAGAGCGTTAAGATATCCAGCCCGGATTAAAAATAAAATCTGCTAGTAAATGAGCAGTGGTGGATCTAGGATTTTTTATTGTGGGGGGAGGAGGGTACAAAACATACTTATAGTATTGCTCATGATTGTTATGTCACAACTATTAAAAATTGTTCTAGTTTATTAACTTATACGTTAGGCTAATGGGCTACGGGGGGCTCAGACCCCTCTGCCCTCTTGAATCTACTACAGTTCATGAGTCTATAAAACACAATCCAAAAACTGTATCTTACAAAAAACTCAAATTGGTATATTACGAATGTGTATTGTATATTATATTTATTATAATATGTAATATCCATTAACGGAAGAAACAGTCATAATAAATTGGAATTTACAAATTTAAAATATAGTAAATGTTTATTACCTATATAGGCTACAAATATTTTTTAATTTTTAAATGTAGCCTGTACCCAATCGAATTGCATTACCCGTATTTATAATAAACGTTATCATTTAAAATCAAGTTGATAATTTAATTTTAAAAAGTATTGGGTATTTTAATAATAAATGTTAATAAAATTATTACTTAAATATTTAGAAAAGGTATTTTGATTTTAATTACTTATCAATAGGTTACAATGTTACATACATGCTTTAAACGGACTCTAAGCTCATTAGTCATTACAAATAATGGCTTGGTTAGGTGTGATAAAATAAAACACATTTTGTATTGAAGATGGATTTAAGAGGACGTTTCACCGACATTATAATTGTTGTCTCCGTCTAGCAAGTGCGTAACATAGCAAGTCTTACCCTCAGCAGATCACGTTTAGCTTCGTTAATTTAAAAATTAGAGTGTATTGACCTCTTATAAAATTTAAATGTAAGATTATTATCTAGGCGATTTCATAGGCTTTTTATTATATTTTAATTTTAAAACAAGTTATGAGTATTTTAAAATTTAAAATTGTTTGTAAGACGGAGACAACAAAATATGTCGGTGTAACTTCCTTTAACATTTTTATTTTAATAGACTTGATCAATTTAATATTTTAATCTTTATATTTTAATTTTTGTATAATGTGACTCAAAATACGGTTGAATTTAATTCACCCGTAGGCGATGATGCCGAATTTATCCAGTCGTTTGGCCGTGTGAGACATTAACTATAATAGTCATTATGACAATATGACTATTATAGTTGTGTCAATATAAATGTACGATTGTATATATAATGTGTTATGTGTATACTACGTGTGGAAAACAGATGATCAGTATATTATATTGTTATAATGTTATATGTAATTCGGAAATTTTGGAATATAAATCTAAAATAAATCTAATGGGTACCTATTTGGAAGATTCAAGATACAATTTATTGATAAGATGATCCGTATTCCGTATGATCGTATATCATATATTATCCTATATATTATTATATGGGCTTTACGATTGCCACAGATATTATATCTAAGTCCGTGAAGATTGCTAATAAATATTAAATCGTATTATTGTAGTGTTATATATATACTTACATATAACATAATATTATTCTGAAATAGTATATATCAGGCATTCGGGCGGCTGCAAACCAAAGCATGTCACCAAACAAAAACGTCAAAAACAATAACTATACGTCTATAAAATATCATTATACACTATTCCTTTTTCCTTCATTAGAAATCCCACAAAAATCCCTATCATATTATATTCATATCGCGTTTTAATGAATCACTATTTTTGTACTTTCAGTTTCCGATTGATATTTTTCACACTGCTTCGTCTCAGATTCTTAATTCTTATATGGCTATGTATATAAAAAAAAGTAAAAACACAACATTAATGAATTTCATCCTTGTGTTGTATAGAATATATAGATAATAGGCCCCCAGTTTGGTAATCATATTTTAGTTGAAAATATTAATTATCAGGGTCTGTGTTACTGATTCAATTTTAACACCCCAGAAAAATGTTCCTAGTTGCGCCTATGACATACAGATATTGTTATGCCACCCGTTTTGTGTAAATTTCAACGAGTCTTTTTTAAGTGTAAACTGTAAACAATATATTCGAGGTTATTTATGCAGCGATAAATATGTATATATATATATATATATAGGTACCTACCTGGCTACCTACAACTAGTATACCATTGATTAGTAATACTATACTATTATTTACAATCAATACTACTACATATATAGCGAGGGTACCTATATTGTAGTCTTGCAACGATGCCGTTTTTCTTAAAAATGTTCTACTTGATTACTTTTCTGGTAGTAAAAGAGCTCTAATGTAGTTTCTTGTGGAAAATTTACGAATACTGTTTAAGATATCTTATATACATGGTATGAATAAAATGATGATTGATGATGTCGATGGTTGATGATTGATTCTATGAAACTACCAGTAAAAAATGTGGTGGGAATCTTAGGTTTCTATAGCAATAGTTTAACTTTACCCGAACTCTGTCTGATCGTTTTACTGGGAAATTAAAAAAAATAATCTCACTGGAGTACAAACAACAAACTACTATATTGTCCGATGCACAACTTAAAGTGGTACAAAGTATTAATCGTAAAACATCTGTGTAGCTACTAAACACTTAAAATCGTGAAGTTGCTTTCTATCTTGTTTTGCTCAAAGCTTAGTATTTGATGAAATATTTAAATATCATGCATCTGAAGAATCTTAGGAAAACTTATACTATACTATTGTAATTTACAATTGTATGTATTGTACCCATTGGGTAACGCGTATTACTATTTACCAATTGAAAAATAAATTACTTGCATCATATCTATTCAGAGTTGGTTTTCGTATAATCGTTTGAATTAATAATTTAGAAAATGTTAACACATCTATGTCAAACTAATACAGTCCACTCAATGATACCCACTCGAAACCTTTAGCTAAAATAGTAACACCGGTGACTTCACCGATTTATTTTTTTTATTTGATGTAAGTTTAGTTGCCTATCTTATAATACAAAGGTATATTATATTAGATAATAAATTTAATATAATTTAGTAGGTACCTATAATTGAATACTATAGCACTGCAGCGTATTTTACAAATTACAATTTCAGGTTAACATTAATTTTCTCGAAAAGTTTTAACATTTTTGAAAATATTGTTTTCAGATAATTTGAATTCATTGCAAAACTAAAAAAATATTTTTCACTTTTTGTAGTTATTTATATTTATTTTATGTTTTAATTTTAATTATTTAAATGACATACAATTGTAATTTCATATTCTTTAGCAGAATATTTTTCTGAGAATTAATTGATATGCAGAAAATCGAATTTTCAATATAGTTACTATACATTACTAATAACATTTCAATTTATCTAGAATATAGTCGAATAATATAGGTGCTCGATAATAGTGTTTTTTTTTTATACATTTGCAATTTCGAATCGACTGTTACAATTATTATAATAGATTGGTATATATATATAAAAAGCCAAAAGGTACCTTAAATAGTTAAATGTTAGATTAATATATAAATATAATTCAATAATACTTTCACAGAACCTTGGCTTATCAATCATTGCCCATTTAATTGGGTAATAAAGCCATAACGTGAATAATGATAGTCGATAGATGCCTATATTATGATGATCGTATATTTC